AATTCCCCAACCAGTCCACACATCTTAAAGTTGCTGAGGTTAAGAAACATTGAACTAACCTACCATCCTATGAAAAGAGCTTAATTAACTGGCAGTTTCTTTAGATCTTCTCTCTAGCCTGATTATTTCCACCCTTCTTCAATTCCTTCCCAGCAGGCCACCAAACACTATGTTGGTCCAACTGATCTCCTTGATCCCCTTCCCAGGGAGGGCGGGAAGCAGTTAAACACTGGTTTACTTTACCTGATGAAGAACCAATTGCTTCTTCCGAACCGACTTCTGGAGGCGTTAAATAGCTCAGTAGCTGTGTTTCTTCCTCTGTCCTCTTGCTCTCCCCCCAAGCATTTAGCTTAGTTTAAATTCATCCAGCTCCCCCCTCCCCACTGCTGCCTGATGGAGAGGGTGTGGCTTCATCAATGGGCATGTCTCCATCATCAACATTCCGGGCAGCTCTGGAAAAAACAACTCATTCTCATCTCTGCCCTAACTCTGCTCAGGATTGGTACAGATGACTCCCACCCTCTGTTGACACCAAGAGAGCTTATTTCATATGTTGGTTGCAGGAATACCTGTACTTGGTCCAAGATGTGCCTCAGCACCCTGAATCTTTACAACAGGATACAAACCTGAGATTTTTTGAGTTGCATTTAGCTCCCAAAAGCCTTGAATGTGGCTCAATACCCAAAGGTGCCACAAAAGTTGTGATTTTTTTAATGTGGTAATAGGGGAAGAAGATTAGCCTTATAGGGAATGATTGTAGTAAGAGTATTTAATGGGTTTAATTTAAATTAAACTGCATTTCACTTGTATTAGCCAGGCTTCACCTATTTCATTTTTTCAACCCCTCCTACTTTTTAGAGTGCAACCTCTGGCAGGCTACTCAAAAGGTTGTGTGGCCTTGGCCCTAAAAAAGATGCATACCCCAGCCTTAGATTGTGCCAAAAATCTATATCCCTACCAAGGAGCAATCATAGATTTACATTTACAATTGAGTGCCCATGCCAAGACTCACATTCACCATCCGGTGGCATTTCTATAACATTGTCTGGAAAGTGAGAAGAATTGCAGCTGAAACAGGGTGTGTGTGTGTGTGTGTGTGATATAAACATGGCATAGTACACTGTTGCATCTGTGTATTTTTTTTCTGCAGCCAACGAGAGATGACCGTGGATGGCTCATTAGCCCTATAGGCCCCAATCCCTGGTGGACTGTGCTGGCAGCTATCATCCCAGCGTTACTCTGTACTATACTGATATTTATGGACCAACAAATCACAGCAGTTATCGTGAACAGGAAAGAACATAAACTTAAGGTAATAGAGCAGGATGTCCACGATAATTCACCAGGCTTCCCTTTCAGTGGCTGTGACATGTGAACTAAAATCACAGTAGAACAGCAGCACAATCCAGAATCATGGTGAACTTTAGTTTGAGTGAAATCAATGGGTCCTGCTAGTCATAGCTATTTTAAGCCAGTTTTTAATAGGACTGACCCAGTGAAAAATATCCTGTTATAGTTATAATCCAATGCACACATATGTGGGAAAACCTACAGTATACAGCAGAGATTAAACTTTAAGTCTGTTCTTGAAATGGCAATCTGGAGTCCCTGTGGAATAACTTTACTTCCTACTGCAAACAGGAAAGCAGTTTTCTAAAAACTAGGCGTGCCAGATTTCCATTTCAAGTGACAAATAAGGCTGCAATCCTATATTGCTTGTGTGAAAATATCTTGGGGTCTGTTGTATTTTTCTGATTGCTCTGATCTCAGAGGGAGGAATCAGTATTGAAAAATCCCCAAATTCAAAGGCAGCGGTGAAAACTTTATAGAGGAACTTTGTTGTGCTAGTGGAAGAGATACGGCTCTCCTCTACCTAACACTTCTTTATCTTCCAGTCAGACCAAAAACACAGGGAGAAATTTATACCAGCCTGGAGCTGGCATAAAAGGAAATGAAATAATAAAAGTGCCTTTCTTCTGCTCTTCCAGACTCCCACATGAGAAACTCTAAGCTGATAGGAGGCTTGGTCTACAAGCATGCCAATCTGCTGCTTTAAAATACAAACAAATAAAAATCCCTCTGGCTTATGCACTATAGCCTCTTTTGCTCACCTCTTCTGCTTCTGGCAAATGTGTGCTGTATATGTGCAAAGATCGGTGTAGGAAGGAACAGAGCAAGACAAATCAAGCCCCAGAAGGGAAGAAGGATAAGAAATGCTGGTACAGATTCATGTTGGTTATTGCTTAGTAATGTCAAAGATGGCCAATTAGAACGTTCTGGCTCTACCCCTGACAGCTCCATAAATGAGAGGAATGTTCCTGCCTGATCTCTGGAAAGCTCAAACCAGCACTGAGAATACAGGTAGTCCCCAGTTTAAGAACAAGTTCTGTTCCCAAGGTCTGTCCTTAAGTCAAATTTGTATGTGAGCCAGAACAGTATTATTGTATAATATTGTATAAGTAGCATTGTGTAATGAGCTCAAGCCATTGTGTATTTAACTCAAATGTTGCTATAATAGGCTCTGTCCTTAACTATGAATCATCTAAACTGGGTGTTCTTAACCCGGGAACTACCTGCACTGAGTTCCATAGATTTAGCAATATGATGCTGCTGCCCATAATGTATAATTGTCACTATTTGGTGAGCTGCATTTCTATTCATCACAAATGCTTAAAGAGAAAGATACACAATTTTAATACATGCTCTAAACTCACCACTAAAATGGAAGAACAAATAAATCAGGAAGTAGATCTGATAAAAGAACCTGTTCGCAAACCTAAACAGCCTTGGAAATGGCAATTCGCTTTCACTGCTAGTTAAATGTGTATGAAGGGAGAGTGGGTGAAATAGATTTTCTCCTTCCCAAAGAATAGCATCTTAGTGAAAAGTCTTTATTCCATACCATGATCCCCTAGTTCTCAACACTGTGAAGAAAGACTGAGCAACACGTGAGAAGGAAGGTTGAGTAATAACAAAGTGTTCCTAACCAATCTCAGTGCAGGGAGACATATAAGTGAGAGAAAATATTGGATTTTGAGTATCTGGTTTGCTTTTTTCCAGAAGTCTGAAATCCACTACCTGGAGCCAGCACTCCTAAGCACTCATAGCTTAGAAAGGAAGGCAGGGAGATGTGGAACCTATGCTCAGCTCCTGTTTAGTCCAGGAATTACCGTACTACTAGAATTAGATTCACATGCAAAACCACCTTCATATCAATTCTGTTTCTCTCTTGATCTCAGCAATCTGATTTAGAAGGGGGAAAAAGACACTTTATTGTCAGGTTGTTATGAGTGGGTTTTTGAAAATCATGTTGCTATCCCACAAATTACACACAGAGCTGCTGGTAAATTCCTCCCACCTCACAGATATATCTAAGACCATTTATCTAGGTGAACGTATTTTCAGACATGAAAGAATTTTGATTGTAGCAGATGTGGATAAGCTGCTTTTCTCCCCTACAATCCTCCAGAAACAAGAGTCTATACTAGACCTTTTCTAACTTAGGATTCTTTGGATGATTCTAGGAACCCTTTCTTTAGGACATGCCCAGTGTTTCACAGAGCTGTAATATACAGGGTTTTAGCTGGCCTCTGCTAATTATTTCTTTCTCCACAGAAAGGATGTGGCTACCACCTGGACCTTCTCATGGTGGGCATCATGCTTGGTGTGTGTTCAGTGATGGGGTTGCCTTGGTATGTTGCTGCCACCGTCCTTTCCATCAGTCACGTGAACAGTCTTAGACTTGAGTCTGCTGTGGCAGCTCCTGGGGAGCAACCTAAATTCCTGGGCATAATTGAACAAAGAGTGACTGGACTGATGATCTTTATACTAATGGGCCTCTCAGTCTTCATCACTGGTGTGTTAAAGGTAAAAGCATGGAAGAACATTCAAGGGTATGTCAGGGCAACCTCCTTTCCCTCTTTTAAATAGGCCAAGCTTTAGTGGAGTTGTGTTAGCTTGAGACATCAACCTTGACTCTAAATATCTGTTCTGAAAGGGCACATCTTTAGTGGCATTTATCAAAAAGTACTTTTGACCTTTGCAAACAAAGCCAGGGGAAGATCTGTGGCCTAGTTAAAGAGCGGGGCTTAGTCCAGTTGAGACCCCCAGGACACTTCCCCCCTCCACTGAAGTTGGTATCAGATATTCCTCTTATACACAGAAAGTAAAGTTATATTTTTCTGCATCGTTCCCCAGAACAGTGGGCAAACTATCTCCATGGAGCTGCAAGACAACTGAGTTAATAACTGCTTTCCAGCATTTCTGCTTCTGCTAGGAGGATAAGGTCCATGTCTGGGTTTGAAGGAGGGTAAAGGAAAGGAGGAAACAATGGGATAATTACATTTCAGATTAGGCCACACTAACCGTAGCTAGTTAGCTGGTCCATACACTATTTTGTTATTATGTATAGGCATGGTAACCCAGTGCCATAGAAAGCTTTGGCACCCCATGTGGTGCTCCATTAATGATCATGACGTTTGTGTAGTATCCTGGATTCAACATCATCAGTATGCAGCAATTTGGGTTTGAAGGGAAAGAGGTGCTCTGGAGTACTCAGGGGCATGCACATAGCACCTATGAGTAGCTCCTTAAAGCTGCAGACATCTGGATGATCCTGGGAGAAGAACAGCTGCTTGAAGGAGTTGCTGACTGGCGCTATGCGAGCATCCCCACACGTTCTGAAGCACCTTTCCCTTCCAAAGTATTCCCCAGCCCCGATAAAGATGTGCAAATCCTTTAAAAGAGATTCTGTGGAACACACTTTTGGTACATTTTCCCCAATGAAACAGGAATGCATGCTTATTCCTGTGGCAATGCCTTGGAGCAGTTTCCCAACCAGCTGGGTGGGCCTGGAAAAAGACCTGGTTGCTTTAACTGTTAAAAAAAAGGTGTTTCATTTTGTGTTCCTGCACATTCTGAAATGTCTCTTTCAATGTCTCTTTCAATTAGCACCATCCTAGCCTGCACAGACACGTACATTTATATGGAGGCATTGTGAGATGGAAGGGGGGCAAAAGATGAAATGGATTTTGTGATGCAAAAGCTGCAACTTATGTATTTGCATCAGATAAGGGACATTGAAACAGAGTTTGTATCCTAAATTTACTTCATGTGTTGTCATTTTGACACAGATTGTTGGAGATGCCTACATGTGTGTGTATACATGTACATATATACGTCAGGTAGGGAAAAAATGCCCAATAAGATCAAATGTTGGTGAAATGCAGAAAGCTGTAGAAGTTTAGGTAACTTCCCAACAGCAGTAACTGGCACTATCAGTAGTCATATTCAATGAAGTAACCCAATGAAACAGAAAAGCATTGCTTTATTCATGCCTAAGTAGGTAGAATAAAATAGATGAGTAAATTTTAGTGTAGCAATTTTATCTGAAATCTCCCCCTAAAATCATTCTGTTGTTCATTTTATTTAGACACATACCTACAGACACATTCTATTCTTCAGCGAACTTCCATGGCCGGAGAAAACCGCAACTGTTAATGTGTGATTTATTGCATGCAATTCTAAAATAAAATGTGTAAAGGCAACATAGAATCCCATGATACAGCTCAAAGTCAGATTTGAAACTAAAATTAACGTTAATCAGTCCTCAGCTATAAAGATCAACGGTGACTATTCTGTTAATTCAAAGCAAAAGTATATCATAACTCTACGAAAACACAACCCTTGGTGTTTAAACATAATGCCCTATTCCATAAGTTTGGAATTCTATCCTGGAGAGTAGACCTTATCTCCTTTTCTGAAGACTAATTCGGACCTCTGTGAGTCAAGAGAAAGTTGCCTGACCTTCGCAGGACCTTGGCGGTCACCGAGCAGCCACCTTAAATCAAAGCTGCCTTGTGGGGTCATGCCTCTTTTCCTCAGTTAGAAAGTTTATCTTTCCATGCGGTATTTCAAGTGCTGGACTGTAGCACAGTGACAGTGTTGTTGACAAAGCCCTCCTGATCTTCCTCTCAAAATAGCATATTTATTAGTGACTGAACAGATTTTTTTTAAAAGATGTCATGTTGGAGAGAAGCTATACTTTCAAACAATATTATTCTTTAGTTATAGAGAATTTAGTGATATATCTAAAGTCCATCTCACGCTCTTTTTCTTTTCAGTTTATACCTATGCCTGTTCTCTATGGAGTGTTTTTATACATGGGTGTTTCTTCCCTGAACGGAATACAGGTATCTATATATCTATATCTATATCTATATCTCTGTATCAGCCCAGCAAGGATGTCTGGGGCTTTGGATGGTTAATGTTTGTGGTGAGAATTTGTAAATGGCAGGGACATCAGAAGACTGAGTGAAACGCTTTGTATTCTGAATAGAGAAAACATATTCCACCAGTTTTGCCATAGCAGCTTTGCAAAAACTCGTACAAGTTTTGCTTTAAGTACCAAGACATCTGCAAGTGTAGCAGTTCACATCATTCCTAAATTATAGGAATAAAACCGTTATCCGACCCATAGTGTATAGCAGTAAAGACCTGATGAAAAGTTGCTTACAGGTATAGATTATATTATATTATTTATTTTTTAAAACAAAATATGATAATAATGAAATATAATTTTGGGTACATGGATGAGAAATCTATATATGCTTTCCTTTTCCTTTTCCTTTTTATTAAATAAAGGCAACCTCCCCAACAGAATAGCAATGACACATGAACACCATGAGATGGCACCCATTCACTTCCAAAACTTTAAAAAATTAAGCATTAAAAAAAATTAAAAATGACTTTGGAAAAAAATTAAATCAGCCCCAATCTCTGAGAGATCCAAATGTGAAAGGTATCTCTGTTTTCACATATAATGTTATAACGCAGATACCTAGGAGAAATAGTTCCAAGTTTACAGCACAGAAATCAGTCTAAAACAAGAAGCAAATAAGAGAATTAACCAAGTCTGATCCAAAACTTGTACTCAGCAGTACTTTATCATGCCAGGCAGGATGTGTAACCAGTAGCCAATCAGGAGGCCAAGTGCCAGTCAGGAATAAGAGAGTCCATGTTCACACAAAATCTGAGGTTTTACACCCCGAATGAAAAGACACTTTTCCAACACTGGCTGACCGAGTCAGGTTTCTATGCATGCCCTGGACAACTGAGGCCGCTGTAAAGTTACCCAAAGTATGATTAACTCACAGCTAATGTATATTACTGCCCAGGAGCTGGGCCTTGCAGACTTACACTTACACTTGTACACTTACACTTGTAATTCTGGCCCAGATGCCACTGAGCTGGAGAAAAGAGGTTCAGATTTTTGTTACATACTACGGCCTGGGTCTCTGGGATGTTTGCCAGCTTGTGGTTCAGAGCACACAACCTCTACTTCTTCCGCATCATCCTCTGAGCTGGACATCATGGAAGCCCTGAGATTTGGGTCTGAGTAACAGCTTTAAATAATAAGTTGGGAAGATATGTGATTGTTTAAGAGTATATTACCACGTATGGATAAAGGATCACTGGGGAACCACACAAAATGATTTTATCAGAGTGCTCTTTGACCAAGGGTAGAAATACTCCTGTTCAAAGGTTGCAGGTTTGGAATCAAGCTTAATTAAATGAGCTGCTTTTGTATTGCTGACTAATAGCTCTTGTGTGAAAAATGGTCTTAACCCACTTATTAGGTTTTGGGATGGTTTCTTTATGGCAGCCTTCGCTGATCTGACGTCCCTAGATGGATTGGGTGTGCAACTCTCTGCCTTGCATTCCCAGCCATCATGGACAATTCGGGGATGCAATATGGTTTCTAGAATACCTACTCTACAGTTACAGCTTTTTTTCAATGCCTGCTCTGCTTTTGTTGCACTATTTTCCTAGTTTTTTGACCGCCTGAAGCTCATGGCAATGCCCTCCAAACACCAGCCTGATTTCATTTACCTGCGACATGTTCCTCTGAGGAAAGTGTATCTCTTCACGATGATCCAGCTGATCTGCCTGATCATTCTGTGGGTTGTCAAGGCAACTCCTGCAGCCATTATCTTTCCTATGATGGTAAAATACTTAAAACTGAAGTGGCCATCTCTGTCATAGGGGTGTGGGGGAAGAGTCAGAATTACATCTTGAAGGCATTAACCTGGGATCTGCGTATTACATTTGTGCAATATTAAGAAGATCTGATTTTGCTGAGAATCCTGAGTTGTAAGGCTAAAGAAATACATCTTTAGTTATATATTATTCATATGTCAGAGAACAAATGAATGACAATATTCATGCTATATATTAGCTATTGCTGCTGGCTTAAGGGGAAAACATTAAAAGCAGAACAGTTTACTAACTGAAAATTAGGATAAAGAAGGCTTTTGTAGACTTGACAGCACATACCATTTCACAATTCTGTTACCAATATGTCAGCACCATCCATTATCTCTTCCTAAATTTCAGTGTGAATTAATAGAAGTCCTGCTTGAATGTTTAAAGGGTATGGTAGAGGCTTTCCCAAGTGGGCTGCACAGGTAGTCCTTGCTTACTGGTCACAATTGGGACCGGCAACTCTGTTGCTAAGTGCCATGGTCACTAAGCAAAAATCACATGACTGCAATGGACTTATAACCTCACTTCTGCTTCTGTCATTAAGTGAATCACTGCGGTCATTAAGCGAGACATCACGTGACCACAACTTGCAGTTTCACTTCCGTGTTCTCCAATTAATTCTGCTTGTTGGAAGCTGGTTGTGAAGCACATGAATGGTGATTATGTGACTGCCGGATGCTGCAATGGTTGTAAATTCAGGGATTGGTCATAACACTGTTTTTTTTCCCAACTGTAGTAACTTTGAATGGTTGCTAAATGAGGCAGTCAGTAAGCGAGGACTACCTGTAGTGTGTTTGCTGACTTGACCCTTTTCACCAGAGGAGTTGTGATCTTAATCATGTACTTAGAGTTAAAATACCTGATTTTCTCCCAATGTGATCATTTCTGAATATCTACCAAGTAGCTCCAAGATAATGAAATCCACTTTTTCTTTGCATCCACTGTTCCTAACGAATTCCATACTATTTCTTGCCTTTCCCTATTGATTTCAATAGTATCATGAAGGACCAATGGTTGTATTTATGTAGCATTGTGAGAACAACACCCCCAGAACTAGCATAGAGCAAGCTTATCTGCCACAATGGAAGCTTTTGGAAAAACAGACCTTGATGATGTGTAATTTATTCTCTGATTCTTTCTCTTTTGATTTATTCTCTCTGGTGCTTGTTATCTGCTTTGCTCTTTTCCAGTGAATTCTGTTGTCATCTCAGGAAAGTTACTCCTTTTTTCCTTCTCCTTTCTCTCTTTTCCCTTCCCAAGGTTTTGGCACTGGTCTTTGTTCGGAAGGTCATGGATATATGCTTTTCAAAACGGGAACTCAGCTGGCTCGATGACCTCATGCCAGAAAGCAAGAAGAAAAAACTGGATGATGCTATCCAAGAGGCAGAACAAAATGATGTGAGTAGGCTTAATTCTACACACCTAGACCCAAGATGTGTGTGTGTGTGTGTGTGTACATGAAATTGAGTGTGCTTCAGCAGAATTGTGCGCCTCAAGGGCAAGTCTTCAGCAAGCCCTCTTTAAACTTTTCCTCTGCTGTTCCCTTTTTACTGGTCTTTTGTCAATCTCTTTACCCCTGTGGGATAAAGTTGGATAAAGTTTGTTCTCTTTACACAGTCAGGAGCTGTGAAGAAAAAAGAGATAATCAACCTAAATGTGTGGGTCCATTCAGACCTTTACATAAATGCAGGTAGAATAGACATGGCAATTGCAGGTATGGTCCTGATTCTCCCTTCTAAGGGCTCATCCACATGTTCCCCTAAGTGCAGCTTGAATCTATCTTGCTACATCTTCATGACCCTGTTTTCATCTCACCCCCAGTCCATAGCCGAAGCTACTTAACTTCATAGTTAAGGTAATCCAGTGTTAATGATGTTTTCCATCTTTTCCTGACGTGACTCTGGCTGCATGTGTGTTCTGGCCCTTTGCCAGCAACTGCAGTGAATGATGATGTGATCAGGGGCAGAACCTATCCCGCTCTTACTGGCTGCTTTGGGCTGCAACGTTCATGTTCTCTCCTTTCTGGTCTCTGGACACGGTGCTCTGTGTCCCTTTTCCTGTGTGCTGCTGATTTGATGTGACCTCTGACTTCTGCAGGCAGCTGTCTGGGTAATGCCTGGCCAGTGCTTTTAGAAGTGTAAGTCAGATCTTACCCAGGCACCTTAAAACAGCACTAGACTGCTTTCAAGACTTGTTTCTGCGCTCTGGCGAGAGACCACTAGAGGGAGCATTGGACCTCTCTTTAAAAACAAGACTAGCTTTCTCCCCAGGAATGTCACCAGGAAAATCCAAGTTTCTAGCAGAAAAGGTTGCCCATTTCTTCTGCTAACAAGGGAGCGTACTTTCTACTGTTTTTAATCTGTTTTTTTTTACATTCTTAATTCGTTTTCTTATCTCTCCATATCTTTTTTCTTCTGTATTGAGGTCCCAGATCTTTTCTACTGGGGTGTCTTTTTCCCCAGCCGCTTTGGATGTGACCCTTTGCCATCTCCCTCTTTCTCCCTCTTTTGTGGCTAGCAACTGCTGTGGGCACTGGGGGCCTCCAGGTGGTGTTGGGCACAACTTTCTGGCTTGGGTGGTAACTTTCAGGCGAGAGATTCATGTCTTGGGCCATCATAGTAGAATGTCACCTCCTCTAGGCATGAACTACGTAGGTGCTAAATAAATTGGAACATTTTAATACAGTAATGATGAAATTTCAGTACATAATATGTTCAGGGCATAATGCAGATCAGGCTCCTTTGGTTGAAACTTTTCTTTATTGACAGCAAATGTCATGAAAGTTGATAAATTATGCTGAATAAAATGGTGAAAAAGTTATCAAAAGGTAACTATTATCAGTTCAGCTGTAGAAAAGTTTGGTTGGTATATGTGCAGATTAGGACTGGAGCATATTATTTTATCACAATTTAAACCAGAATTTCTCTGTGTTAAAAAGGAATCTCAGAATATGATAGAAGACGGTAACCCAACTGTAACTGAAATGTCTTCAATGAATTCAAATTATCTGGCAGTTCCAGGAAGCTCACAGAATGGTGTACCAAAACTTGACAATAGGTAAAAAAAACCCAAAAAATCATTAAGTTATAAGCATTTATTATACTGCTGTTGCTTTTGCTGTTGCTGCTGCTATAGGTAGTCCTCTCTTAATGACTTCCATTTAATGATGGTTCAAAGTTACGATGGCCTCAGAAAAAGTGCTTTATGACCTGTGCTTGTGCTTACAACTGTCACAAACTGTCGCACCCCCCCCATGGTCATGTGATCACAATTTGTGACCTTTTTTACAATGGTTGTTAAGTGAATCATGTGATTAAGTGAATCATGTGGTTGTTAAGCGAATTCCAGCAAAAAACATCCATTAGGGAAGCTGGATTTGCTTAACGACCACATGATCCGCTTAATAACCATTGTAAAAATGGTCGTAAAATTGGGTCCAGTCACATGGTGACTCACTTAACAACTGCCCCCTTAACGACCAATTTTCTAGTCTCTATTATGGTTGTTAAGTGAGGATTACCTGTATTGTTATTTTTAACTCTCCCAGTAATCTGTTTGGAAAGATTCTGGAATACCCCTTCAGCCACATCATTTGAGTTGTATCAACCACTTTTACAACTGTGCTCATTTATGTCTGGGAATGCAGACATTCATGGCTCCATTGCTGGCATTTTTTTAAAGAGTAGTATCTTAAATAATCTCCAGCTTTGCAAATATAGACATGACCTAGTTGAGTTTTCCACCTGTGTATCCCACCTACATGGGAAACATTGTGGATTTTAGCGGCTGGAATTTCTATTTCCAAAACTGAGTTCTTAAAAAGCATCATGTTTTGGGTCCTTATAAAGCATCAGGTTTTGGGCCTTCTTTCCCAAGATCTCTAAAGATATTTCCTTATTGTTGCTCAACATGTACCAGTTAACATCTGAATAGCATTCCTCGGGGGTTCTCCTTCCATCTAAGAATGCATCTGGTACAGCAATGGCTACTAACATCAGCCACAACTCTGTCGTCCTCTTTTTTCAGGCTTTTAATTACTTTACTGGAGGAAGAATTTAAATTCAAAAGCTTGCAACTGTTGTAAAACATCATCCTGGTAAAGGAATGATTTGTGTAGATTGCTCTTATTTTGATTTTTTTTTTTCATGGACAACACAACTACTATTATACTTTAAAAAAAACAACAGAAACTACTTGTTTATTCTGCAGATGCCTTTTCTTTAGTAAAGTTTTGAACCTGTGCTGAAAATAAGTTTCTAGAAACAGGTCTGATAAAAGGATTGAACTTCTGCTGCTCTTCCCCAGACACACACTATTGATGGAAAAACGAGTCCCTTCTTTCATGCCCCGTTGCCTGCAATATTGTGTTGTGTTAGAATTTCCAGAGGGTTGCGGGACAAGATATTTTGCCTGTGGAAGGTGTGGACTTAGGTTCTCCAGCATTATTGTTGAAACAAAAAACTGTTTTTAATTTCAAGGCCACGTTAAAAGATTTCACTTAAATTGTAATTAAGTTAACTAAACTATCATCCATGTTTTCTTACTCCTTCCTTAAGTTTTGGAGTACAGTCAAAGAAAATTAGGCTTTCTATTGGATGAATTGAACTTTTTCCCCCCAAGTGGATATCTAATGAGGGTGGTATCCAATTAAAAAAAGGATTTTAAAAAAAATAAATGGATGTGCTATTCCTTGCCTCCACCCCCCCATGTATGGATACCTATGAACTGTATTTGTTCATTGAAAGTCACTTTTAATATTTCAGTAATTCTGGCATTCCACACATCTGGCTTTTCAATTAGTAGGCTCATGGCTTTGTTCACATTGTCAGGGAGAAGGGCAATTTTTCTAATCATAAAATGGAATTCAGTGTTTTGAAAGAAACTGAATTATGTGTGGTATTTGGAAATAGTTAATGAGTAATTCCTATCTCATTCAAGCCAGGAGAATCAACTCTAAAGTAATTTTATAAAATGAGAAAGTTCTCTTAATAAAAATGTTATTGTAGGCCTGATCCTTCAGATATTAACATCTCAGAAGAAATGTCTAAAACAACTATGTGGAAGACCCTCACCATGAATGCAGAAAAACTCTGAAATTCAAAGGAAGAGGTATGGAAATTTTCTGTAGGGCAGTCTCAACTCACTACCTGCAATCTTCAGGAAAGAATATATAAAGGAGGAAGTTTAAAAATGGTATGCTGAGAATTGTTACCACCCCTCTCCAATCAGCTACTACTGTGAACTGATTCTAGTCAATTTATGCCCACAAAATCACAATACCATCTGTGTAACATGGCAAGCCAATAGCTCTATTACATGCAACTTATAAAGGAAGACCAGTCATTTGACTAGTGATAGAAACTACTTTCTAGAAGCAGATGTTTGCAGACTATCTCCATATGCAAGGGATATTATTAGACAATCATGATAAGCAAATTCTAAACCTGTTTCATTTGTTTTAAACTTGGGGTGGGGGAAAATAGAAGATATGGGAAAATGCCTTCAGGATATCCAGGGCTGGTATCTCTAATGACAATTTTTGATTTACAGTTTGGCTGTTTGGGACTCTGCTTAGGACAAGGAGCTCGCGGCACATGAAGATGACTCAGGGAAGAGCCAAGGTGTGCAGGCCAAGGAGAGAAAATATTTTTGCAGTGGAGAAGGTCACAGGCAGACTAAATGCCCTGGTACTTCCTTCATACAAGTAACTGGGTTCATATTAAAGCCATTGAGAAGTGTTTTGATTATCCCTTGTGTGCTTCAGTGGGCATCCCAATTATCTTCTGAGCAGCAAGGCAGTGGAAGTCTAGTGTTAAAGCCTGTCTTGTGTGTGCACACACACGTGCATATTTGCTGTGTTACAATTTCTTAGTAGTACAGAGATTGCTGCCACTGTAAATTTACTTTTTTCCCTTCCAGTGTGTGTTTAACGGTTTCCACTCGGAATGTACAGTGACATTATGCCACAACTATTTTGAGTTTCTGTTTGTTTTGTTTTGTTTTTGGGTGCCACTTTACAGATGTGGATGTTGTTTGCAAAATCCAATAATAAAATGTAGCTGAGTTACCACACAAGCAATTGATAAGAGCTGACACAATATAAATGATTACAAATCAGTGGGAGAAATGTATTTCCCCCCATTTTTATTTCCTAATCATGCTTCTTAAATTCTGTTTTGGCTCCTTGTTTATTTGGCAGTTAATCTTGTGAGGAGTTTTTACAAAAATGTGTATTTAAGTAAATGTTGCTTTGTTAATGTGTTTTCATGTCTTCACCAAGCCATTGACCTCAGTGCAAATGACCTAAGTAGAGGGAAAGGTGATTAATTGTTGTCAGTGTCACTGTTTGCACCAATCTGATGGGTACTTGCTACCAAGACAATATGTGGGCAAAAATAAAATAGATATTAGAGCTCAAGGAGTGAACAAAATAATATCTACTCAAAGTTTGCTTCAGTAAGGATTCGCTTCCAGAGGAGCACCCCATGCCAGGAATCTTACTTTAAAAAAAAAAAAGAAAATACTTGTAGAGCCACAGAATTGGAGTTGGAGTTCAACCTTCTTGCTCAGGCAGGAATCCAACCTTCCTGAATTCCATAACAGCTGGCTCAGTAAACTCTGCTTGAAGATATCCAATGGAGGGGAGTCCACCACCAATAATCTCTCAAACTGCCCTTACCATTAGGAAGTTTTCCCTTTCCTTCAATCAGAATCTGCCTTCTGGTTCCATAAGATCCTATTCCATGGCCTGCCCTCTGTGATAAGGCAGCCTTTTCCTTTGTGACGCACTTCACTATCTGGAGAGGGTAAAGATGCCTTTCTGCAAGAAGATCAATAGGACGTTTCAAACGTTAAGAACATCGATGAAGCAATAGTTATCATTTACAGGAGTTAATCTGTTCTAAGTTCTAATTGGTAGAAATCACAGTCAGAATTCCACTTATTGTTACAAAGATGGCTGTCCTTCTCCTTCCCCCGAGACTTAAACATAGGCAGCTCCCTCAGTTTCTCTTGGAAATTAGTAAAATCGCTGAGGTATTAAACAGAAATTTGATACTTGATCATTCCTTTTTCTGTGATCATTTAGGACATTGGGATTCTCAAACCCAGTCATTGTGAGCCATTTCAAGTTGCAAAATATAAAATGTCTGTCTATCTGGGTTTCCCAAATGTTAATTGGCAAAGAATAATGGATTGGCTGCTACTGTTGGCATGTGTCGAGGCATCCCATGGGCTGATTTTCAGCAAACAAATCAACCAGTGTCTGCAGCAAGTAGGAATTTCCCCCATTATCTCCGGGGATCCTGCACTTACACAGCTTGTCAGCCCTTTGAGGTAGGCAAAGTCAGCAAATAGGAGCAACAGAGGTTTCAGGAATACTCTTTATTATTCTAGAGAATCAGAACAGAATCTTGAAAACCCATCAGAGTTTCTTTGTACTACATCTTACAGCAAACAAAATTGGTTTTGTGTGCGTGTGTTATTTTGGGTTTCTTTCTCATGTTTCCTTCTTTCTCACATCTGAGTAATATTTTCTGAACCACCTCCCTTTACAGTTCATTAATCCCTTCCTATTACCAGGGTCAGATTTACATTTTATCACACAGATGAAGAGAGATAATAGATGCTTGTATTGCACTTACGCATACTACACTACCTCTTAGTTGACTTAGAAGGACAGCAGCATGGTGTTGGCTCTCAGCTCTTTAGTCAGGGCTAAAGTTTGATTCTTTTTAAGTGCATTTGAAAGAGGAAAAAAGAAAGAAAACTGGCATACTGACTTCTTAGAGCAAGTTGTTCATATCTGTCCTGATTTCCATTTCATGTGGGTGTACCATAAAGTCTATTTTTATTTTGTTTTCTTCCCCTGTTATCTGCAATTGCTAGTCTGGTCTTTTTGAGGGAGATGAAGAGGTGGTTAGCCCATGTGGGTTTAGGGAGATGATCTCCAGCCGAGCTGCAACACCTCCTCGTGTCTTCTGAACAGCCTTTTTTCTGAAAGGGATCCTCTCTTCTTTTCTAAGAATATTCTTTGATACTGCGGGGGCACGTGACACATGAAGCCATTATGAAACCAAAGAAATTGACTGGTGGAAAACTGATCTAAGAATTCCATTTAAAGAACCTTAAACTGTAGACTTGTGAGAAGGGAATGCTGCATTTTCTGTTCAGGGGCTCCTGGTTTCCTCACCAAGCTACTCTTCCCAAGAGTTATCAGAGAGCGAACGAGCCTTGGCAGACCAACAAGCATGAATCTGATAAAGGCTTGCAGCCTAGAGATATTCATAAGGAATCAAGGAAAAGACTGATTCCTTTTGCCAGCCCTTCCTCTGGAAAACAGATGTCAGAGTGCACTGCGCATGCCATCCTAGCAATGCCCATAGAAACAGAATTTGATATTCTCTTTTAATACCACTTGTAACATAGCCATGGACACTTTCATTTTAATTAAAATAGCTTAAGGTTCATGTTCACCCATTCATCCTGTAAAGCAGGAGTGAGCGATAAAAATACCACCACCACCACCATCTGCGTTTCTGGGCCATCTGCAGTCCTTGGCTTAATTTTCTGTGGTCCTCAGTCTAATTTCAAAAAAGTTAAAGTTTAAAAGACGTAAGGTAATAAAATTATTTGGCAAAAGCAATTTCTCCCTGTCCTCACAGCCGGCTTGGTTGTGGGGGAGTGACAGAAGGAGAGAGAGAAGATACCAGGGAGATAGAGATAAAACAGGAGATCAGGGATTCAGAGAAAACAGATGACTTTAATTCCATGCAGAGCTTGCTTCTGTCCCATCCACTAGCATCGTGTGGGCTCCACAGTTTACCTCCCTAGAAATATGGCTGTGTTCAGAAAAAGAGATTGCCCGCTCCTGCCCTACAGTCCATTCTAAACCACTGCTTTTCCTGGTCTTGGTGGTGGTGGTCGTAGAACGTTTAACCTCTCACCTCCACATACGTAAGCGCTCAAGGCAGCTCAGAACAAAAAGGACCAAAACGATACATATGAAAGCACACTTTGCATACAGTCCTAAGGGAAATGGCTTGAAAATAACCCCCACTGAACCCCTGTTCCTTCAGAGTTCACTGTGTTCTGGAGTGCAGTCACCATGTTGAAATGGGAATTTATGTTTTTGGAGAATAAGATAAATATTTTACAGGCTTTTTAAGAAGTACAGATACGTATCTATTTTTTTAGTGTACAACACATTGTATACATTGCAGTACAATTCCATTGAAGGCAATGCATGAAGTGTTATGTGGCTATTCTCTGTGTTAACATTTAACCTGATGGTGTAAAGATGCGTTAAAGTTCAGTTCCCAGAGTTCTCAGCCAGGAACCTGGTATGTTATGATGCCGAAGAAGATTGCCTTGCATAATTGCCTGGGAATAAATCTCTTGGACTCAGTGTAGCTTATTTTTGAGCAGGGTAAGCTAAACCTCATTGTTTGTTTCTTAGAATCTCTTCTTATTGCTATTTCTTGTCTAAGGTGTTGGATGGTTAAGTTTGCAGAAAGAATAGATTTATTTTCTTTATGCATTTTAGCTCCAGTACCTGGAATTAAGGCTTAAAAACTAAACTGAAAAGCTGCATTGATGAACAATGTGATTGGCAATAAACAAAACTACTTTTTCCTTACTTCCTCTCATAGCATGAATTCTTGCCTCTGTTAGGGACTAGGAGACACCACCTCCTGCATTCCTCTCTCTTAGATGATCCATTCTGGCCTGCAGCCTTGATGCAGTCCAATGACTGTTCATTATGTCTTCCATGATGTAGTGAGGCTAGCAAAAAGACCAACAAGCACAGTTACGTAAACTTACATCCCACGCTTCCATGTGGACTGCCATCTTTGGAAACCAAGCTGGCTCTGTGTTCCTTATACTCCGTACTGTAAAAATGTGGGCCATGTCATCTTGTAAGCTCATTTCTTTGGTGGTTCATCTTTTAGGCTGCTTCACTATGGGAAATTTCAGAAGATTTCAAATCCTTATGATGTCGCTACCAAACACAGAGAAGAATGAAGCAATTGCTTCTTGTGGATTGGTGTGAGACGATCTAACAGTATGCCATGAGTTTCCAGTCTTTTGAGGCTAATAGGCATATGTAACCTTCAGAAAGCATGTTATGGGTGGAATTCACAATATGGTCCCTATGCAAGTGTGGTTATTAATAAAATGACCACTGCATGGAAATGACAATCCTCCCTCAAAAAACTACAGCAAAATGCAAATGTTGAGGATTTTAAAACAAAAGTATATAAATCATGTCACATATTAGTAACAAGGAAGCTATATTAAAATTAATATTTAAAACAATACAGATTCTTCTACTTACCTAGTCATAATTAGAGGGAATAATAAAATAGTGTCAACTTGAACAGAATTAAGACAGAACGAAACAGATTTAAAACTTCGGGGGATGAATAACACTGTCTTGAACAAATATGATCACTGACACAGCATACCACCTGCAAGCTTCCTATAAATTAGTTATATATGAAGAGACAATACTTTTCAAACAATGACCCAGGTGTCCTTCAGTAAGACATGTTTGGTTTCTCTATTTGATGGATTGCATTGCTGAAAAAAGGGAGTCACAGAAATTTAAGCTTTGTAGCAGCGTCTCTCATCACCACATCCAAAAATCCCCATGAGTTAAATTTGTTTTTAAAAAGACATCTTGAAATGCTATCTCCATCAGATTTGATGCATCCTATGGCTAACACAGTTCATCAGAATACATTTCTGCCCTGCAGATACCTGAGCTTCAAGCTTATAAGGCTTTATAGGTAAAAAAACCCCACCACATTCCATTGTCTCTGGAAGCATCTTGGTAACCAAGGCAGAGTTCCCAATAGTGCTGTTATATTCAGGAAGCATCTCTCACCCACCAACTGCAGCTTCTAAGTAGTCTTGAAAGGCAGCCCAACGTGGAGTGTGTTGCACTAATGTATACAAGAAGTGTCAAGGGTGTGAGTTACTACTGCTAGGGATATCAACAGGGTTCAGAGCAAAGGTCATCATAGATTTAATCTTGGTGAATTATTGAAAGTAGGCATTGAATTGTCCTTCATGTGTGTTCCAAGGTCACTTTGTCAAAAATATGGTGGTATGAATAATTTGCTGCAATGAGGAGGAAGTAAAGGAATTATTTACTCTGTACTTGGATTTTCACAATTTTAACTTTGGAATGGATTCCTGGAGCTTAGCATTCTATAAATCTCTTTGTCTTTGCTCTAAAGCGCAGTATTCAAGTTGTCTGGTTTGGGTATGATATCACAAAGCAAATCCATTGATTAAAATCTTGTTCCCAGGTTGTTCAAAATGCTGGTCTTTAGAGTTCAAAAATGCTTTGATTTCTTATGTTAATGGTGAAACTGGAGACCTGCACTCTTGATATATGCTTTTTGGGGGCCACTGAAGACTGGTTTGGGTCAGTGTGAATTTTCTTTCAATGAGCAGTGGGAGAGAAGCATTGCTAAAAATTGAGGCAGCATTTCACCTGGCCAACTGTCAATTACAGTATAATTACAAATAATTTATATTGCCTAATTTAATATAAAGTAAAAATTATCACCCATTTATGGATGAAACCCATTTCATATCAAATATACTCAACCTGATAAAATAGTTTCAGTAGTTGGATAATCTGATGTTCCCATGAGTTGTGTTAACTTTTGAAAAGAACCCAGTAGTAATTATCAGGTGGGAAGGAAAAGCATCTTTCAAAGGATTTGTTGATTTGAGCAAGACAAATCTGCCTCACCTCTCCTAGAGTCAGGTCTGGTAGAGGGTCCAAATCATTTGCATCATAATTTTCATAATGGAGTTTGTCTTAGTTGTGGCAGGGTATCTTATTTAAGAATACTCTTAAAAGGAAAATGTTCAGCTTTGGTGTCTAAACATTCTGAAGGGCCTTGTAAGATAAGCTGGTAGAACTTGGGTAGGATATAGCAGAGCAATACAGGTAGTCCTCACTTACCAACCAATTGTTTAGTGACCATTCAAAGTTATGACAGCACTGAAAAAGGAGACTTGCAACTGGTTCTTGAAGTCATGCCTGTTGCAGCATCCCTGCAGTCCCATGATTGTGATCTGGGCACTTGACAACAGCCTGCATTTATGCAGGTCAAAGTGTCTCATGGTCACATGATCGCTATCTGTGACCTTCCCAGCCATTTGAAGTTACAACGGTGCTGAACAAGGAGGTTTATGACTGATCCTTGAAGTTGTGGCCATCACTGCATCCCTGCAGTCACATGATCGTGATTCAGGCGCTTGACAGCCAGTGTGCATTTATGAGAGTTACAGTATCCTGTGGTCATGTAATGGCCATTTGCAACTTTCACAACTGGCTTCTGACAAGCAAAGTCAATGGGGAAGCCAGCAGGAAGTCACAAGTCTTGGTCACATGACATCACACTTAATGACCCATGGTCAATCGCTTAACCACAGATGGAACTGACAAACTGATGTAAGTTGGGCACAGTCATGTGACTTTTTACTTTATGACCACATCGTGTAGTGATGGAGTGAGTTGCCAGTCCCAATTGCGGTCAGTAAGTGAGGACTACCTGTATTAGAAGCTAAGAGGAGAAGGCGGAATTGAATGGGTTGTGGACAGTGTCAAGATGGAATTCTGCAAGGGCATAGTTAAGGCAGAAGATATGTTAATGGATGGATTGTGGTAGTTATTGAGAGAGCACTGCTTTATTAGTTGGTCAAGTAAAATACCAGCAACCTCAATTAACACATGGCTAGATTCATACCAAACAATCTCTTCTGGAATAATACTGAAAGGGGCTACATGATGGATCTGTGGAGCTATCCATCATTCCAGATACTTGGGATCTTTCTGAATTAAAGAAGTGCATAAACCACAGGACTGGAAAAGTCCCTAGCACTGAGAAATAAGTCTATTGTGTCTCTTGCTTACATCATCTAGAGCAGATGCCCACTATTTATTGGTGAACAAAATATTTTTGGAAAAACGGGGGAATTAATATTTGATTGGAAAAATAGCATCCAGATGGATAGTCTTTCAGCTCAGAGGGTTGACATTCATCTGGGGTAGCAGGAAGAAGGAGTCTTAAGTCTTTGGGAACTGAAGTAGAGCAGGAAAGGACAGGACAGGGAAGAGGAAATATTGCAGGTTGGTAAATTCAAGCCTGCTGCCTCTGAATGCCTAACAGTTTCGGTGATCAGAGTGTAATTTTTAAATTTTATTCCAATCTTCTGCAGAGTAGAACAGAGAAATACAAATATAGTGGTACCTCTAGTTATGAACTTAATCCGTTCCGTGACTCTGGTTGCAAATCGAGTTGGTCGCAACTCGAGGTAAATTTTCCCATAAGGTTCAATGTAAATACAGTTAATC